GTACAGGTTGTCTTTTATATTATATTTATAATAATTACCATTATAGTAATACTAACATTATAACAACAATGTATTGTAATATGTTTTTTAATATCAATATATATATATAAATAAATAAATTTCTATTTACTATAAACTATTCAAAACTATATTTTCAAAATGTATTATCAATTAATAATTGTAATAATAAAATACAAATGTTTTAATAGTATAAAACATATTATTTTTCAGATACTTATAATATTTTTTTATAAAAAATAATTTATTCATTTAGTTTGATAATTAATATTATTATCTATCAATAAAAATATCTTAAATTATTGTAATAAATTTTTTTTTCTAATTGTATTATTTTTGTCAATTAAAATATTTTATTTTATTTTCAAAACACATATTAGTGAGAGAGAGAGAGAGAGAGAGAGAGAGAGAGAGAGAGAGAGAGAGAGATTTAATTTATAATTTTTATTAAATATTATTAAAATATTTTTTTTGAAAATAGTTACAAAAAAATTGCTTAAATAAAAATATTAATTTATTAACAGTACATCAAAAATCATATAAATAATATTAATTTAATAACTTTGTGACCATATGTTAGTGAGTCACTAATAGTGACTGAGTATTTAATTAATTAATTTTATTTTAATTTAGTCAACAGTTATAATTAAATACTATACTTATTCAACAAACTAATAAAAAAAAATAATTAAATATATTTACAGTTTTTATTTCATTTTATCAAACATTTTACTCTATAAAAGTACTTTAGTTTTGTTGTACAGGTAGTAGTAGTAGTAGTACAGGTAGTCTACTGTATTATATTTTTATTGTAAATATAGATATTATTATATAATTATAAAAAATACTACTAATAGTCTATTATAATTTAGAGATAGAAAATTTTTTTTTATTTATTTTATACTAAAACAACATTTTTGTAAATATCCTATTAATAGTTATATTTATTTTTTATTAATATAAATATTTTCAATTCTATAACATTTAAAATTAAATAAATAAATACTAAAAAATTTTATTTTTACTGTATGTTAAATTTATTAACAAATTAGTAAAAAAAACCTATTAACTAAATAATATTAATTTTAACCATATGTTTGTTGTGAATGTTTTAGTATTTAATTAATCAAAAATATTTTTTTAGTTACTAATTAGACTAATACTATATAGTAGTTAATTAATTAATTAAATATACTTTACTTATAGTTTTTTTTAGTTTAACAAACATTTATTTATTTATTTTTAATAATAGCTAAAAATTGTTTAATCATAATAAACAAACTAAATAATTATGTTTATTGTTAAATAGAAAATAATTGGAAAAATTATAATTTTTATAAATAATTATAAGTATTTATTAATTAAATGTTTATTAAGTAATAATATAGATATTTATTAATAAAATATTGACAAAAAATAAGTTGTATTATATTAAATACTTTAAATTTAATAAAAAAAATTAAATAATTTATTTAAATACATAAATAATAGAGTTTAAGCTATGGATGAATTGAAATGCACTTAAAAATTTGTAAATAATTAGAAAATTAAAATTAGTTTTAAAAGTATTTAAATTAATATTTTTTTTTAAATTGTAACTAAACTAAATCAATGAATTTTATTTATTAGAAATACTTAAAACATTTATTTATTTAAAAATTTACTAAATTATCAAAAAAAAACTAAAGTTAGATAAAAATGTGATTTATTTATATTTTCAATAATGATTGATTAAGTAATTAAGTGTTTAATTGACTTTTTTTTATCTATAAATTAGTTATATTTTTTATAGTTTAAAATAATAGTTTTTAACTAATTAAATTATTATTGTTAATTAACTATTTTTTTGAACAAGTTTTTAAACTAATTAATTTTATTATTTTTATTATAGATAAAAATTTATAAAAAAATAAATACTTTTGTTGAATTATTTTTAGATAACATAAATATAAACAAATTAAGTTAACATTTTTACATAAAATTTTAATATAATTATAATGTATATAAAATAAATAAATTTTTATAAAATAATTTTAATAATTTGTATCTGATTTTTTTAAATTTTATAACTTAAATAATTATTATTAATTACTAAAATATTAAACATCATAATAGTATAATTAGTAACATTTAATTCACACACAAAAAAAACTGTAAAATCAAATCAAAACATTAATTTTATTAATTATTAAATGCTATAATAAATAGATATTTTCTGTAAATAATATAGTGTTAGAACTAGTTTTAAAATTTAATGATAAAATATTTTTTTTAATTTTTAATTTACTTTTTATATTTTTTTTAATAAATAAATATTCTAATAAAGTAAAGTTTATATATATATATATGATCTTGATAATGATAACAAATTTTTAGTATTATTTATAAAAAACATTTTAATAATTGCTTATATAATTGCACTAAAATTACATATACTATAATAATACTGTATATTATTTAACACTACACTTGAAATTTATGAAATGCTTTTAATTAAAAATAAAAAATTATTATTTAAATATACACTTTCTCTTAGTTTGCATATATATATTATAGCAAAAAATTAAATATAATTTATTAGCATTTTTTTGAAACAATTAGAAAATTTTAGTTATTATTTAAAAATGCTATGTTTAAGTACCTGTAATTTTAGGTCATTTTATAATTTAGCTAAACTTTTTGTTTGTTTGTTTGTCTCAATTTTTAGTTTTCATTTTATTATTATTTTTAATGTACTCTTTTGTTGTAATTTTATTTTATTTTTTAAAGAAAAATTATTATTATTATTATTATTATTTAGTTTTCAAAATAAGGCACCTAATAGTACACATGTAATTAAAAATTATTATTATTTTTCACTTTTAATTGCTAAACAAGTTTTGCTAGAATTACAACAAACAATATAACAACAAAACAAACAATAGTATCATAAATACTGTATAATATAATATTTTAAATGTTTTTTAAAAAATAAATAAATAAATAATTATCGGTCATAATTACAGTTTAAATGTTTTTTAACTGTTTGTTTGTTTGATGGAAAAAAGTATATACAAAACAACAAAATTATTTGAAAAAAATGTTGTCATTATTATTATTATTATACAGTTATGTAAAAAATTTTATGATACGAGAGTGTTATAATAATAATAATGTATTTAATTTTATAAACAGAAAATATTTACTATTTTTATTTATAGTGAAAAAATAAATAAATATATATTAATATACTAATTGTGTACTTATATTTTAATAACTATATGTTATTGTTTTTTTTATAAATAATAATTGTTTTATATTTAATTAATAAAATAATAATAATAATAATAATAATGTATATTTTAGCATTTTATTCAACAATTTATTTATCAATTGCTAATATTATCATTGGCAATGAGCTATCATTAATAGGTAAGTGTTTTTTTAATAATTTAAGTATATTAAGTAATTAATTTTATTTTGATCAATTAAAAAATATTAGATAAATTTTATAATGATATTTACTTTAAAAAAATATCTAACATTTAATATATTGTAGTTATTTTAATGCTTAATATATAAATATTTTATTATTTTACATTATATGTCAAATTAATTATTTTGCTAAATATTTTCCTTATATAATACAAACAAACATTATATACATCTAACAGTATATATATATATATATTTAAATCTAACTAAATATTTGTTGACCTCAATTATATATAATATAGTAATAGTAAACATTTCTAGCAATATAAAATATTTAATTATTATTATTATTACATATTTATAATATAAATATATAATAATAATAATAATTATAGATTTATTAATTTAAAAGTCTAAATAAATATAAAAGTATTAATTATATACACTGTATATTATACAGTATATATGTTTAAAAATAACTATATATTTATAACTAATTATTATTAGGTATTTAATTATTAGTTAATACATAATATAATACATAAATACATATATATTTATTATATAATACTTAATCATATTTATTATTATTATTATTATTATTATTATTAAATAGGAAGTGAATCCTTAATAAATCAGTTAAAATCGCCAAAAAGTACAGTTTATTGGCATAGATTAGCGGCTAAATCATCATTGTTGTTGAAAAATAAGCTACCGGTGCCTAATAATATTAATAATAATAACAAACCTAATAAAAAACAACAACAACAACAAGATAAAGACAACAAGTTTATAATAAATGATGATACTAACAATGATAATGGTATTATATTGATTACACACCTGGCCCGGCACCGTCATCAAACTGGTAACGGTAGTAGTAGTAGTAATACTAGTGCTGCTAATCAACAATCAGCTAATAATATGGTGGGGAAAGGTAGCTTAAAATCATCATCAATGGATAATAACAATAAATATTATGATACTACGATGATGATGACCAGGGTGCCAATTAAACGTAAATCCTATCAGGATTATGGGGGTAAAAATTTTTACAATTTAGTACTAAAATTTAAGAAACTGCCGGAAAAGTTTCAAACTAGAAACGATAATTAATTTTAATTAAGTAATTAATTAAAACAATACTGTAATATATATATATAAMTTAAACTGTAATATTGTATAATAATATATAATTATTAAAATAATTTTTTGTAAACTTTATTAAATTTTCTTTAATTTGTTTTTTTTTATAAAATAATATATGAAATAAAACTTGAAGTTGTTATTTTTTTAAAAAAATATTTTTAAAGTGATTTTAATTTTTTATACTATTTGAATGTTTAATATTGAATTACATAAAAAATCATTAAAAAAACACATTTATATAATGCTCTAAAAAAATGTTTTGTTTTTATTATATATCATATATTTTTTAGTTAATTTTTCTAATTAAAATAAAATCATATACAGTATATGCTCGTACAATGCAACAAAAATATTTTATTTTAAATTTTTATTATTATATTATTATTTTAAGTTTATGTCTATTAAAAAAAATTTTTTATATAGCCATTAAAATATAATACATTAACAATGGATTATAGCATACAATAACATAACAATATAAGCTTATTATAATTTTTTTTTATTTATTAAGCGGTAGTGACGGTTAGATTACATGTATTATTTAGTAATAGTAGTAACTATTTATTTTTCATGCTCCAGGCGCTCGGATTCGGCCAGCAAAAAGTTTTCGTGAGCCATCAACAACTGTTCAACCAGTAGTACCTGTTCACGGGGTACATGTTTATGTTGATCCAGGGCCATCAGTTCATGCTCGAGCACCCTAACCTTTTCGATCTCCCGTTCCATAGCCTGGGTCAAATGTTTTCGACCTTTATCGTGATGACGTTTCAAATCAATCTCGGCCCGGGCAATGATAGCACGGGCACGTTTGATCAGTATCTCGGGTAACTGGGGGTCGTGATGGTGTTCCCGTTCTAGCCGTAGGCTTTCGGCAATCAGGACGTTTTCGTGGCCCAGTATACGTTGTTCCAGCTCCAGGGCCTTAATGGGGTCGACTTTTTTTGTATGTTCCATTTTCACTAGTTCCTGTTCCAGTTCCCGGAGCTTATGTATCTCCTGTTCCATAGCCTGGGTCAGGTGCTTGCGACCCGTATCGTGATGACGCTTGAGTTCCGATTCGGCAAAATGTATGACCTCACGGGCACGGGCCAGTAGTACTTCGGGCATAACCGAGTATCTGAGTATATCATCCGGGTGCAAATGAGCCAGTTTAAGCATCTCAACCAATAGGATATCTTCGCTACGTAACAGTGCTTGTTCTAGGTGCAAAAAAGCTGCCGGTTCCATACGATGATGGCGCTCGAAACGTTCGAGCTCCTGTACTAAATGTTGGACAACCTTAATCTCATGTTCCATAGCTTCTACCAATTTTTTATCGTGTCCTTTATCGTGATGATGTTTAATCTCTTGTTCGGCCCGTTTAATCAATAACTGTGCTCTCAGTATGAGTGCCTCAGGTAAGTGTAGTTCGTGATGGTGTTCCCGTTCAATACGTTGCGATTCCTCCAACAAACGGTTTTCGTGTGCAATCAACCGTAGCTCGACTTCATGCTCTTTGACCGGATCGACATGTTTCGACTGATCCATAAGCATCAGCTCTTTGACCAGTTCCCTGACTCGCTGGACCTCCCGTTCCATTTCGTGAGTCAAATGTTGGCGTCCGTGTTCGTGATGGCGGTGTAGGTCAGCCTCGGCACGTTGGATGATAGCCCGGGCCCGGGCAATGAGGAACTCCGGTAGATGATCCTCGGCATTGGCGGCTAATTGATAATAATAATAATAATAATAATTAAGTTAAAAATAACAAAATAAAATTTTTTACAAATAAATAATTAACTATGTTAATTTAATTTGTTTAAGCCCAAATAGTACAAACCTAGGATACAGGCGCCCAATGTAACCAATGTTAATAAAACTAGACGCATTTTTGTAGTAACTATATTATTATTATTATTTCCAAATAATAATAATAAAAACTATACTAGTTCAATTTGATTTAATGAAAAATTATTGATGTGTCTGATCCTTTTATATACTAATAAAATTGATGCAAAAAATTTTATTATATTGTATTTTATGTTACCATAAGTTGTAAATTGTACTTGATAATTAAATTAAAAAATTAATTATTGTCAATAATCTAGGCACTTTTGTATGTTTGTGTGTGTGTAGGTACGTATGTGTGTATATGTAGCTATGTGTGTATGTGTGTGTGTGTTTGTATGTGTGTATGTGTGTGTTTGTATGTGTGTGTGTATTTGTGTGTGTGTGTGTATATATATCTGTGTGTATATATATATATATATATATATATATATATATATATATATATATATATATATGATTATATACCGTGTGTGAATTACAAATATACTGTGTGTTTGTGTTTGTGTTAAAAGTACAAATAGCTATACAATTAATTTAACACTTGATAACAGCAACAACAAAAATTAGTAAGGTGATAATTTGTTTGCAGCTATTAAAAAATTTTTAAGTGGGGTGTCTAGGTGCATATCATAATTAATTAATTATAAAGTACGGAATATTTTATCATGTTAAAATATCAACAAAAAAAATTATTATTATTATTATTAAATCAAATGACCTAGACAGTTTATAAGTACTATAATATTGTTTATGTGATATAATACTAATTTTTATTTTAAAAATGCAATAATTTAATTATTGCTTATTTCTAGTGACAAATTATTATATATATTTTTTTAATTGAACTAGATAACTATAGAAAAATTGTCAAGTGTAAAGTTGATAATTAGTGTGATTTTTTATATATTGTTTTTATCAATAACAAAATAAAATTATAACAAATATATAATTATTATTGTTATTTGATAAACTGTACCTGCTTATTGTTTTCTACTACTAATAATAATTATTATACTAAAAAATATCAATCATATAGTACATATAGACTTATATTTACTAAATAATTATTAAATTAAATATATAATGTATTTTTAATAGCAAAATATTCTAGAAAAATGCGATTAAATTTATTTCAAACTATTTTTTAAAGTCAAAATACTATTAATCTTTAAAAATTTATTTTTATTACTAAATTAACTAAATATCAAATCAAAAAGTATTTTTTTAAAAAAAATATATTAATTTAATTAAAAATATAATAATTATTGAATAAGTTAATAATGTTAAATAATTATTTGAAATAAACTATAATAATATTAATGACTATTATAAATAAACAATTAATAATATATATAATTAATTAATTTAAAAAAATAAATAAACCCAACTATTAAAAACATAGATAATTTATAGTCGAAATTATAAAACAGTAAAATTATTTATTATTTTTTAAACAATTCAAAAAAATATATTGAATATTAAGATAAAATTACAAAATATTACAGTTTACAAAATGTTACAAACTATATGAATATTTAGGATAAAAAATCATTAATGTTAATAATAATCTCTAAAAAATATTAAACATATAATTAAAAATTAAATCCAATCAAACATATGATCGACACTATCGGCAACTTGACTGACAGCACCGGTACCAGCTTTAGTTAGACCATCGACAGCACCGGTAGACATACCAACACCACTATTGATAGCACCTTTAGCCATATTAACAGATCCGTCGACTAGGTTCAAACCATCATCAACTAAATTATTTACAGCACCGGTAGCACCCGAGCTTAGACTATTAACAGTATCGGTACCAAACCTAACCGCACCGTCGATATCATTTAGTGTTTTTTGAGCCAAATCGCTAAAAAATGGTATATTAGCGGCAATACTGCCCAATAGTTCAGTACCGGCTTTAGTCATGCCTTTGACAGCACCGGTAGCTCCTCTGATACCGTCGTTGGCCAAATTCAATGCTGTATCCAAACCACTGCCCACTGCTTTGGTACCCAATTGTTCGACACCACTATCCATACCGACAGCACCGTTGATACCTTTACTGAGCATATCTGTGCCCATATGTACGGCACCGTTCAGAGCATCGGTACCCGATTTGAATAGATCGCCAAAAATACCACGTTCAGCCATTATATGTGCACTGTTTGTTACATTAGCTACCAGTGCCACCAAAAATAATACAAACAATAGTTGAGGATTCATAATATTTTTTTGATATATTTTTTATACAGTTTACTAATGAAAAATTATATGCTAGTTAACTTTTGTTAGCTTTAATCTAACTGTGCTGTCTAACTTGGGTAAATTAATTCAACTATTTATACATTTTGTTTTAACAATGGTTATTTTTTTGTGTAAATAATAATTAACAAACAGGAAATAATTAATCTAGATAATAACCAATTAATTATGATGAGTTTTAATTATTTATTAAATAATTAACCTTAAAATGTCATATATTTTTTTACATATATATATACAGTACAGTATATTTTATTTTTTAGTTAAATCTAATTCATCTGTATAATAAACATCTAGATCATTTAGTTAATTTATTTTATTTTTTTTAAAATAAATATGTTATTGTTGTTATTGACAATTGTACAACCTTGAWAAAATTTATTTAATTAAATAACGGAAATAATAAATTATATAAAAATTATTGTAATATAATGATCTCATATAAAAATTTGTTAATTATTATTATAAAAGTTTATAGATATATTTTTTATAAAAAATACTTATTATTTATTATAATGTTTAGCAAAATAATCATTTTTTTCTAATAAAAAATAAAAATAAAACATTTCAATCAAATATATTATTAATAACAATACAATTAATCAAATTACTTATTATAGACTTTATTGTATATGTATTTAAAGGCTATATTTTATGTTATTTTTTATGATTATAAATACTACTAAAATATGTTTTATTTAATTTATTATCAATACAAAATAATTTTTTTGTATAACATTTTTAAAAAATAATTGCAAAATAATTTTTATTTAATTTTTTAAACCAATTAATTTTATTTTATTTTTAAAAAATTTTTATTACTATAATAAAGTATTTTTTATAATTATGATATATCTATTTCAAATAATATATATAAATAATTAATTTATAATACTATTATTTTTATAATATATATATAAGTTTGCAAATTTATATATTTATATTTATTTAAATATTTTATTAAAATAATTGCTATATTTATTATTATAAAAATAAAATAAAAGTAGTATAAATAAAAATATAGACAATTTTTTTAAAAAAARATTTAATCATTTTATTTATAATTGTTTCAAATTTATTATTAGTATTAATAATATTATTATAACATATTAACATTATATAATAATAATATATTTATCTTTATTTAATTATTTATTTATATAATTAATTAAGTAATTAACTAAACTAATTAAACTAACTAGCTAATTAATTAATTAATTAATTAACTAGTTAGTTAGTTAGTTAGTTAGTTTTTGATAAATTATTAGCTAATTTTTTGAGTAAACTAATTATATTTTGACTAACTTTATGAAAATTATCTAGAGCATTGCTAAGCACTGGTAGATCATTTTGTTTTACTATTGGTTCAACAATTGAATCTACCTTATTGAGTAAATTGCCTAGCTTATTAATTAATTGATTTAAAACAATAGTAGCTATATTACTATCTGATATACCAAAAGGATATACAATAAAACCAATTAATGTTTCGATAGTATTTGTATTAAATAATGGTTGTAAAATTGATCTAGCTAATAAAATTAGCTTGGGCAAACTTTTCCCAATCAGCTGTTCTAGACTACCAATAATATCATCAATGTCCAATTTAGCCAAATAATCGACCAATTGATTCACCACTACAGCAGCACCGGTAGTATCTGTGGTTAGACTATCGACACTATCCGTACCAATACTGACAGCATCGGCGTCGTCGCCAGTATTCAACGGTTGTTCAGCCAAATCGTCAACCAATGGTATATTACCGCCAATACGACCCACTAGTCCAGTGCCAGTTTTAGTCAAACCATTGACAGCACCGGTAGCTCCTCTGATACCACTGTTGGCCAAATTCAATGCTGTATCCACACCACTGCCCACTGCTTTGGTAACCAATTGTTCGACACCACTACCCATACCGTCGACAGCACCGTTGATACCTTTATTCAACATATCTGTGCCCATATGTACGGCACCGTTCAGAGCATCGGTACCTGATTTGAATAGATCGCCAAAAATGCCATCACGTTCAGCTACAATATGTGCACTACTACTACTACTACTACATTTTGCACTATTAGCTACCAGTGCCACCAAAAATAATGCAAACAATAGTTGAGGATTCATAATGTTTTTATATATATATATATATAGTATATATATTCACTACAGTTTATTAATTAATATAACTATTGTTAGCTTAAATCAAACTGTACTGTCTAACTGGGTAAATTAATTCAACTATTTATACATTTTGTTTTAACAATGATTATGTTTATTTATAAATAATAATTAACAAACAGGAAATAATTAATCTAGATAATAACCAATTAGTTATGATGAGTTTTAATTATTTATTAAATAATTAACCTTAAAATGTCATATATTTTTTTACATACTGTATATAYAGTAAAGTATATTTTATTTTTTTTTAGTTAAATCTAATTAATCTGTATAATAAACATCTAGACCATTTAGTTAATTTATTTTATTTTTTTATAAATATGTAGTGCACTGTATAACTTTTAAAAAAAAATAATTTCACTATTTATACATTTTTTATCAACAATTTTAACCCATTTTTAATAATAAATTACTAACAAATGTTAAATAATTAATCATAGATAATTGATTGAGATACTATTTAAGGTAATAATGAGTTAAATATATATATATATATATATATATATATATATATATAAATTATTTAGTTTAACCTTAAAATGTCAATTATTTTTTTTTAGACAAATATGTCATATTTATTATTATTAGTATTATTTATTGTGTCTAGCATAAATTGAAATTAATTAAATTAATTTTTTTTAAATCTATAATTAATTATTAATAATATATTTTTATGAGTA